TTCCTGCCAGGGCGGGCGCCGGCTGAGCTGTCCCCAGCCCGCGGCCTGCCAGGAAAGGGGGCTGGCGCGCCCGGCAGAGCCCCAGGTTTCTCTTGGCAGAGGAGCCCGGGTGAAGACAACAGTCTTATAAGGGGAGATGGGTAGGGCAGATGGGGCTGGGGACAGGGAGAACGCATGTCCCTGCAGTGAGACGGCATCGGTGGGGGGACCAGGAGGGCAGGGGGAGCTGCCAACAGCAGCCCATAGAGAGCTAAAGGCCCACGGGAAATGCACCTCCTGGTACAAGCTGGGGTCACCTATCTGCAACCAGGGACGTGGCCGGTGCCGGCACAGCCCTGCACCACACCTCGCTGAATGGATGTGGACTGATGGGATCTGCCCCGGGGCAATTTACCCCGGGGGGTTTGCAGCCAAGGCTCTGGGGGGCACTTCTGGGCAGGCAGGGAGGGGTCACCCCTGCCCAGGGCTGCGCTGACAGCCTGCCGTGTCCCTTATGCCAATGGAAAGCACAGCGTCTGCTGCATCCTGATGACGCTGGTGCAGCTCTGTGCCCTGCCCTGGCCCTGGGAGCGCAGTGCCCTGAATGCCGGGCCCACCGGCGGCCAGGGCTGGCACAGCCTCACTCCAGCAGGCAGAAACCACGTGCAGCGCGGTGGTTTGCATCAGATGCAACCACAAACCCAGCACGCGTGTCCCCCTGCACGCATCGCCTGGCACAGGGGCTTCCAGGAAGCCGGGCCAGTGAGCAGGAAAGGAGAGCACCAGGATGATAGACACGTCCCTTTTTGGAGAAGAGGAACTCCTCCCGCGAGGGCGAGAAACGAAAGTGGCTTCCAGGCCGGCCCGTGCAGCCCGTCTCCAAACCACCCTCCTCCCTACGGCAGGATCCGGCCACTTTTCCCAGGAACGCGGGAAGCCCCTGTGCTGCGCCCACCTGGCGCCTGGCAGAAGGCTCCAGCTCCTCCAGCCTGGCCCCCTGCACCGGGACGGATACCACCCGGGGCTGCTCAGGCGCTGGCGGCCTGGGACCCGGAGCTGCACACAGCCTCTCGCCCCCACCGTTACCCTGAGCCTGGCAGGGCGAGTGCACGGCAGGAGGCCAGAGGGGAAGGACCGGCTTTTCCCACTTCAAAGCCGCGTCCCCAGGAGATGCAGGGACCTGCCCGAGGGCGGGCAGCGGGTCAGGCTGAGCCTGCAGCAAAACCCGCGGCCCCGCGGGGTCATGTGAATGGCACCACAACACGGGGGGTTTTGCCGTGCAAACATGGAGGAGCCAAAGGCAGCAGGGCCTCATGGGGACTTCCAGACCTGGGACGTGGCTCGGAGCCCTGGATCCCGCTGTTCCTGGAAGGCAGGAAGGGTGCTGGCGCAGGATGTGGAGCTGGGGGAGCCAGGCGGGGGGTGGGTGGGAATGCAAGCCAGGCTGGGCTGCAGGGCATCCGCGGCCTGGCACAGGCTGGCTGCTGGGGTTCAGCCACGCGGGGCACTCGGAGCACGTACCTTGCCGTGGGATCTGGGCAGCATCCAGGAGAGGCGGCTTCAACCAGGGCTCCCCTCCTCCGGCTCCGACGCTGCTGGGGACACTTGGAGCACGGCTGAGACGAGACACCAGCTCCGTTAGGCCTGTGCAGCCTCCTAATCGAGTAGCACCTTGCACGTACATGGTGCAGGTCTGGCTCGCTGCCCCGGTGCAGGGGCTCCGTCTTACTGTGGGGTGGACAGAAGGGGAAGGAAATCCCCGACGCTCTCGGGCTTTAGTCACTGGGGATGGCTGGAGACCAAACCCCAACCCGAACCATCACGCCTCTGGAGAGCCCACTTCAGATCCTGGCTCTTGTCCAGGCCCACAACACGGGTGGCCCCGAATCTCTACTGGAGACACAGCCGCACCCGGGACCCCCCTCAGCTCCGGTGCTTGCAGAAACCTGGAGCTGGGATGGAGAAGCACAGCCCAGCTGGGTCCTGGGCCTCCAGAAGAGACCAGCAAGAGGGACTGTGTATCAGGCCAGGCATGCAGTGCTCCCACGCTGTATTGGTGGGGCTGATTTAGCTCATGCAATGCTGCTCTCTCTGCTCCCAGGGCCGCGGGGAATAGTGCAGCCTTTGGGGGATGAAGGCTAGGAGGTACCTGGGGGTCAGGACCAGGGTGCCGCAGCCCCCCTGCACACTGCTCACCCCGTTTCCCCTTCATGCTGCATAGCACGACCGCTGCCAGGTGCTAGCAGCTGCCACGCTCCACCCCGGAGCTGAGAAATCCCCGGGAAGTTTGCAGAGGATAAAAATACACCACCGGGCACATGCAGATGGAAGCTGAATTGCCCCGTTCATAGCAGGGCAGTTCAAACAACTGGCGCTGAACTTGACCTGCCGTGCAGACACGGCCTGGAGGAGCAGGGGCCAGGGTCCTGGACACGCGGTGGAGGGGGGAAGACAGGAGACGCGACACGCTGGGTAAAATGAAAAGTGAGCCTTTTTATTGTGTTATCAAGTCACTTTTTAACAACAAGTCCACAAAATATTAAACACTGTGCAAGAAATTGGTCTATGGCACACCAGAAAGGGGGGAAATAAAAATAAATCGGAGATCCCCAAATGCAGACGTTATGAAGAACCTACGTTACGGACACCGATTACTTCCTAAAGGACAGTCTTTACAAACCTCGACTGGCGTTTGGCAACAATATCAGAGTTTGGCAAAGAAGAGTCATAAACCAGAGAGAGAAGTGAAGAGCGCAAGGGACCCAACGCGTGGCTTTTCCTGCAGAGGGGGAGGATGCGGTCGCCTTGACTCTCGTTAATAGAGGCGACTTTTAAGTACTCGCAACGGGGAAGAGGGATTCGGCTGGGCTGCTCACAGGGCCAGGGACTGAGCGACACGGGCATCGCTCCTAAGCTCTCCCCCCACGCAGCTGGAGCCGGGATGTTTAAGGAGCCGCGCTCCTGGTAGGATACGCCTGGCTCGGGCAGGGAGGTGAGGGAAGCTGCCTTCGTCCTAAGGGAGCAGGGCTGGGGATGCACCCTGGGGGGGCAAAGCATCGGGGATGCTCTTAGCCCCGGATGACCACGCGGCTGATGCCCATCCGGCAGCAAGCGCCTGCAAGAGGCTGGGCGGGGGGGCCTGATCCTTCTGGCCAGAGGCAGAAGCACCAGCCGCCCCTGCAGCCAGGGCTGGCGGAGCTGTCGCTCCCTCCTGGCGGGTCTACGAGGACAGGAGCCTGTGGGCTGCCTCGGCCCCGGGACCCGAGCGGCTGGCAGATCACACAGGCACTCCGCTTCCTCCCGCCCGCCTGCCCGCCCGCCCTCTTTTTCAGTCCCTCGCCTTTCTATTTCTGGTGACGGCTTTGCCACACGCGTGAGAGGGACTCCGGGCCAATCTGGGCGGGGGGCTGACATCCCAAAAAGGCCTTTGTGGAGCGTGTGCCGGGCAGGCCCCGGTGGCCTGACCGCGATGAGGGATGGGGAGAGGAGCCGCCCCCCGCACTTCACAGTTCAGAGCACTTAAAAAGTCCGGAAAGTGTCTTTTTTTCTTTTTTTTTTTTTCTTTTTTGGCAAATGCACTGACAAAGTACAAGCAGCTACTGGAACCGGCACTGATATTTATGCGATACAAAAACATCTACGGTATGAGCGCTGCGCGACTCGGATGGGGTGGGGGGGATAAAAATGGGGAAGCCTGCAGGTGAAGACCCCCCCTCCACCCCCAAGCAACCGAGCCGGCTCCTTCCCACCACCCCGCAGAGCTAGGCCAGTCCCCCAGCACAGGGACCTCTGCCATCTCTGCCTGCACCGGAGGCTGGAGCGGGGCTCCCAGCTGCCCCGGGCATGCTTGAGACAACGGTGCCAGGAGCAGGGGAGCCCAAAACTGTCCCTGCCTCTGCCGCTTTGCATAGCTCTCACGGGGCAGTGTGAAGGGAGCGGGCTCCCGGCTGGGCACGTGTCCCCCAGGCCAAAGGTCCTGTCCTCCCCATCCTCCTCCAACTGCATGCTGATCCAGAGCTGTGCCCGGCCCTTGCACATGGGGATAACACGGCCCAAGGCAACGCTGCCGTGCAAGTGACCTGCCAACCCCCACCCTGGCAAAGCCCACGTGCCATGATGACTAGCACTGACCGTGCCAACGGGCCGGGCTGGACACAGGACACTTCCACGGGGCGCTGGGGAAGGGGTGATGGGGGTGCAGGGGGGCTGCGGGGAGCAGAGCTTTGGGCAGACTCATCAGGTTGCAAGAACCGATGACACTGGTGCGTCCCTCGCGGGCGGCTGGGTGAGCAGCGCCCGCGGTGGCCTCTGCCACGCAAATGAAGGACCCGGGGCTCGTGGCTGACCTGCGACTCCTGGGCTTGCCCGGAGCGCCAGCTATAGCACCATGCACTGTTCTCTAACGTAGAGGAAGAATCAGCAAATCCGGAGTAGAAAAATAAGGCTGGAGCTGGACTAAATTAAGAACCGGGGGAAGCCCCCACGGTGGAGGGACAGCCCGGCCGCGGGGGACAGCGCTCGCTATGGGCGCGGCGACTGACGGAGCCTAAATCGCTTGGACTGAGAAGGAAAACTACAAGGGATCTCTCGTGGGTTTGCAGACCTGCTAGGGGGGCCGGGGCTGGGAGACACTCGCTGGGTCTCCCGGACACAGGAAGCAACGTGCTGCATGTGCCGGACGGTCCTGGGGCCGTGCCAAGGCAGCGCTGCCCTGGGGAAGGCCTTGCGCAGCAGGGGCAACGAGGGGCAAAGCTGCTAGCGGATGGCAGGACCAGAACCCGGGACACTCGGACAGGGCTGCAGGAGGCTTCCTGCTCCCCCGGGCTCAGCGCGGGGCTCCAGGGATCCTGCGGGGTGGCAGCGAGAGGGACTGGGGTAGTGTTAAAAACATGAAGTCCTCGTTTAAAAACTTTTGCTTAAAAATGTGAGCGATGACGTAAGAAAGAGCGGAGGGCGAAGGATCCGGGACAGATCCGCGAGCCCCTCACCTGCACAAAGCCGGCGCTGCCAATCTGCAGCTGGGGGTGGCCTGGCGGGGGGCTGACACGGGCGAGTCGGTTTTCCCCGAACAGCAAATCTCATCATCTGGGAGGGACAAAGGGTGTCGCTCCCCGTGGAGCAAGTCACCACGAGCAAAGAACGGGGGGCAGCTCCGGGGCTGGCACCCCCTGCCCAGGAACCCCACGTTTGCTGTCTGAGAGCAGGTGGCCAAAACCCTGGCGGTGCTGGACCAAGCTGCTTGCTGCCCTGGTAAAAGGCACGGGGCCAGTCCCAGTCCCTCACTCAAAGTAGGCCTCTGAGAGCCACAAGCCCAACCTCCTCAGGGTCTCCGTGAAGGCTGAGCCCGTGGCTCCCCCCGGCCTCCCCCTTCGGCAGCGCACAGGCAGGACTGGTGCTGGGACACGGCCCCTGGCCTGTCGGCATCGCAAGGGGCCCAGAATGCGACACTACTTTTGTACGGAAGCGATGGAAACCAGACCCAGCGTGCTGGGGCAATGGCTTGGTGAGACAGACCTCCCAGGATGGGGGGGAGCCTTTCTCTGCACACAATTTGGACCAAAACTTGGGTGAAGATGCAGATGAACCGACCGCCCCGCACGTCAAGTGCCCCAGGAACGTGCCCGGATCCATCCGCCATCTCCATCCAAGACACCAGCACTAAGGGGTCTGCCTAGGAGGCTTATCCACCCCTCTCCCTTCTGCGCTGAGCACTTCTCTGCCCCTCAGTCCTAGCCACGGAAAGCTGGGCTGTCCTCTGCAGAAGCAGGTCTACCCGATTATTAGATAAAGCTAACGGTATTAGACAGTCTCTTGTCTACAGTGTTAGAAGCTGGTGAGCAAATCTGCTGCTTCAATGGAGACTATTGGGATTTCTGCCGGGTTCTTATAAAAAGGGACCCAAGGACACGCGCCGGGTGGGTTGCTCTAACTACGCGGGAGAGGTGGCAGGGCTTCCCTGAGCTCAGATCTTTCTCCCAAGCACCATTGGGGTTGCACCACAGGGGAGCAGGAGGGCTGAGGACCTCCATGCCACGGTAAGAGCCCGCGCGGGCAGGAAGGGGCAGGACCAGTGCTCGTGGGCACGTCGGCTGGCCTCTCCGTGGGGAGCTCGCTCCCGGATCGCAGTGCATGGCGTTACGTGGGCCAAGCTCGGTCCGACGGCGCTCACACTTTGCAAGGGACGGGAATCGTGAATGCAATGCTTCCTCTGCTACCTTACTGCCGCCCTCTCTTCCCCCCCATCCTACAATTAACAGGGGCGAATGCAAAACTCCTCGCAGCACTGGTTATCAGGAGGGAAGGGGAGAGGGGAGGGTCCCCAGAGCCGGCCGCCGGTTCTAGTGTCCTGGACCTACGCTCGGAAAGGCTTGGCTAGAAGTTTCCATAGTCTACTGCACAGAAAAAGCCCCGCCACCCGCTACAAACCCCAACCCCCCCCCCTCCCTCCCTTCCCCACTGCCAGTCTGCTGGGAAAATTGTGGGAACAACACACAGAGCTCGCCGCGCTCACAAGATCTCAACGCCTCCATCCCCAGCGCCTGGGGCCAAACCCTGTCCTGCGCCAGCTGCTGCAGCGCTCATGGCTGGGGGGCGTCCGGAGACACCTCGGCCCCCCGGTGCGACTCCCTCGTTACAGATCCCACGTGGCCACTGGATGTTTCCAAGCTGGGGCTCGCGTTTCACCGAGAGGAAGCTTCCCGTGCCCATCCCGCGTTACGACGGCGCTGTCCAGCCTCCTGCCCGCCCGCCCGCCTGCTCTAGTAATTCTCAATACAGCTAGATCAATTTTTTTTTTCTTTTGGAAAGGGGGAAAAAAAAAAAAAAGATTGTTGCTGTTTATAAAACTGGACTCTCGTCCCCCTTCCCGAACCGGAGCGATCGATTCAAAACGCTTGGAAAAAGACGCGAATGGGAATCCCTCGTTCCATCCAACCTCACCCGGAGCTTTGCCCAGAACACCTTCAAAGGTCAAAGTCTGTCTGAGGCTCTGCATCCCATTGGCAAATGCAGTTAAAATCTGCTTCCTCCAACCCCCCCCACCCCAGGAAGCCAAAATTAGTACATCACTGTATTAAAAACGCCCCCCCCCCCCCCCTTTTTTTTTTTTTTTTTTTTTAATTTGGCCTCTCTCTTGGTTTGGAGCTTGCTCAGCGCAGCCAAGCCCCCGTCTGAACACTGTCGCTTTGGGAGACTGCAAGGTCTATTTGAATCCAACGTGTAGTGTTTCCCCCTCCGTGCAGGTGTACGTGTGTGACTTGGTTTAAATCGGTACAGAACAGTGCCCTGCCTGAGAGAGAGCGCGCGCGCGGGACGGGGCAAAGCTATAGGATGATACAAGGCTTTTTGTCCTTAAAGGGATTCTCTGAGGCGGGCACTCCAACCAGCAGTGGGTCGCTCCGGGCATGCTGCTCACAGTAATTCATTAGCTCAGAAGATGCTTTGGAGACCTAAAATGTTCGGAGGAAAAGAGAAAAGAGAGAGAGACACACAGCAGAGTTAGTGACAACGCGGGGGGCATCCCCACCGGCTTGCACAGCAGCTCTCGGCCCAGGCGCAGCCACACTTGGCCTTCCCTAGACCAGAAAGCGTCTCACATGCTAAGGAGGACCCGTGGCTGGGGATCCCGGGCTGTGCTGCCGGAGAGAAGTTGTCACAAGTCCCAGGTTTCACAACAGAAACTTTGCACAACTGATCAGAAACGGAAAAGGGGAAACCGAGGCAGGGGAAAGCCCTGCAGAGCGGGTGCTGCTTTTTAAGAGATGCTTCTTCCGCCTCCCATGAGAAATTTCTCTCGTTTGGAAAACTCTTGGGGGAGACAAGGGAGAGAGGGAGAAGGAATGCGCGTCTCTGAAAGTGCCCGTTCTTTGCTGCTAAAAACGGAGCCTTTCAAACCACAGGACCGAAACCATCAGACGCTGTTACTTAGGCTTCGGTTTATTTTCGTTCCAAGATTTATTCTGAGAACTTGGAGCGACGGCCCAGCTAGGACGCGAGGGGAAGGAGGGAGGACACAGATGCACAGCTCAGGCATTGGAAGCTGGGATGTGGGGCGAGGCTGAAGTCCAGGAGGTTGCAGCAGCTCTGGAGACTGCAGCCAACCAACCCTGACACCTTTGCTACCCACTTTGGAGCTGGGTGACCGTAAGGCCAACGCACAACATCCCCACTCACACATCTGGCCCCAGACACGAGCTGCCAGAGCTGTAATTGTCCCGGCTCCAGGCTTCCACTGCAACAGCAGAGCCTGCCCCTGCAAACCGGACCCGCCAGGAAGAGACGCTTCACTGCTGGGAATGCTTCTTTTATGTTCTTGTGATGGACGCAGTGAATAGGAAGGCAGGAGACCCAGGTCCTGGTCCTAGCTTGGCTATAGACTGTGATGTTGGGAAGTCCTTTCCTTTGTGCCTCAACGCCCCCTGCTCCCGCAACACACTGCCTGGCGCTTCTTCCCCTTACCTGGCTAGGCTGCAGACCTTACAGGGCAGGGAGTCTCTTCCTACATGGCTGCACTGCGATCAACCCAACCTTGCCCGAACTCCCCAGACACTATTGTAACGCTCTATTAATAAAGCAAGCCCTGGGAGTCTGCAAACCAGGGCAGGTGCCTAAGCACCTACTTTAAATAGCTCGTGCTCGAACATGCTGCCCTGATCCGCTCAAAGATGAGAACGATCTGTTCTGCAGCGGGTGACAAGGTCACAACTCCAGCTTAAACCACGAGGGCTTCACGGGAGGCTGCGATACGGCTTCCAGGGCGAGGAGCCGGGGGGGGACGACGACCCCAACAGGAGTGGTGTGACAGCAGGTGCCCTGGAAACTCAACAGAGGTCCCAAATGTAGCACGGACGGAAGTGCCCGGTGCCAGGGAACACAGGGCACTCTGCTCTCACCACACAGGCCAGACACTTGTCTGGGGTCAGGCTCCAGCTGGAGTCCTCCCGTCAGCGTGTCCAGTCTATGCATGAAAGCGAGGGCCTGGGGGGTCTCCTCTCACTCAGCTCAGAGCCAGGAGCTGCACATTAAAATCCACCCATTTCCATCTGGGCTGCTGGCAAAGCTCTGCAAACTGCTCGCCCAGGCAGCTGGCCTTCCTCCTCAGCCCGGGAACACGAGTCTGCCCCATGTCTGTGCTGCAAACATGACTTGACTTCCTGTAACTTTCGCTATGAAACCTTGGGAGAAGCAGCTGGAGGAAGGAGCCTGGAGGGGAAAACCCCTCGTGCCTCTGCTCTGGTGTCCCCGGGGCAGGCACATGGACCGCTGCTCGGGGTTTGCTTTGTGGCTTAGTGGTCTTCTGCAAGCTGGCCCGGCCAGCGCCTCTTCTCCACTGCCCTAAATAGCGACATGTCGCAGGCCGGCTGCTACTGCTCTCTCCAAGCACAGTGTCTGCAGTCAGTGACGTGTCCAGAGGGAGGTAAGTACCCCCGCACCCCCGGCGCAATGCCAGGCACAGTCTGCGACCCGACGCTTAGTAATACTTGGAGCGTCTGTGCCGGGGAAGCCCTGTAATTTGCTCTGTCGTCCCTAGAAGGGCCTCTCAGACGGGTGCATCACCGGAGTCTGGAAACCGGGGCCCCTAAAACAGCTCCCAAACCTCAAGCGGGATTTAAAAAACAGGATTTCCCAGCAGCAGCTGCCCTTCCCACGCGTCCAATGAATCTCTCTCGGGCAAAGGAGCGGGAACTGGGAGTCAAAGAAAACACTCTGAGACCAGAAAGCATTTCATTTCTGTGTCGGAAGGAGCCGGTGCATGGTTAACGCACAAGCTCTGAGGGTTTACTGGCTCCTTCGCTGACACCCACAGGGTTTTCTTGCTGACGGGAGGGGACTTTTCAGGAGCAGATCCCAGTGCTCGTCCCCCACCTCCACCTCCTCCTCCTCCTCTCATGTTTGATTACAGCCCACCTGGCCCTGCAGACAAAGCCAACCCTTTGGGGTAGAGGCAGTGGTGCTGGGCACGGCTGCACAGGGTGGTACATGAAGAAAGCAAGGCCTCCAAGAACAACCTTGAGCATCTTGTTTGCAGGCTGGAGGGGGCTGGGAGCAGGTGAGGACTTGCCTGCCTTGTCTACAAACCCAGGAGTGAGTGGGCTGGTAGGAGACAGCCCACAAGCTGGCAGCCGTCCTGCAGCACTGGCTGCCCACTAGGACCCCCATGGGACCAGACAAGTACCTACAGGGTGCCTAGAGGACCCGAACCACCCCTGCACAAGCACTGTAGCGCTATGACGAGGTGCCTCACACCCAAGGCAGAGAGATGCTGCATTTAGCTTCCAGCCAAAGGAGTAGCGAGCACCGAGAAACTCTAGTGCGGGGAGCCTTTGCAGCGGTCCGTGCCAAGGCAGGGCAGAGCGCGGTCAATGCTGCCAGCTGATGTCTTACAGCTCTGCCTGTGCGTATATCTGCCTACCTGACACAGCTTGAAGCAAGTGAGCCCAGGACCCCGGAGCAGCACTGGCATGACGTGAGCCTAGCCAGGCCCCTGGTTCCTCGCTTGGCAGGGAGCCTGAGCTGACGTGCATGCTGAGGTCGCTGGGTTAAAAGCCAGTTGTGACATCCGTACCCAGGGTGGGACCTGCCCTCCTGAACAGTGTGGATGTGGACATACCTGTAAGCAGCAGCCTTCACTGACACATGCTCTAAGACCATGCCAGAGCACGGTCACGCCTGGATCTTCTGGGTCTCCCAGTGGTGAGAGCCAAGAAAAATGGAGTAATTCTGCCTCTGCTGCGTGAGCGCAGCTTTCCAAGACTAGTGTTGTCCCTTGGCTTGTAACCTGGAGCACTACCCAGGGGGCAAATCTGAACCCACTTCTCGACTCTGCCCTTGGTTGGCATGGCTCAGAAACAACTTCCCAGCTGTGGGGCACAATCCAGCAGGGTGCGGAGAGCGCCAGCAGGAGGTTCCCATGATCCGTGCTGGGATGGACTCGTAGGCACTGCATGCAGGCCCCTCTCCCCACCCCAATCCACCCCCCTGGGAAATGTGGCCCTCCCAATGCCCTTCTCACCTTGATCCTCTCGATCCCGGCTTCGATGCGGAGCTGCTCCACCAGCTTCCGGGCCTGTGCTATGTTGTTAGTTGTTGACATTGTCTGCCATCGGTTCCGGGCCCCGGCACTCGAGAATGCTAGAGGGAGCAAAGGGGAGAAAGGTTGGTTCGTCGCTCCATGCCGCAGCTTTCCCGATGGCCGGGGAGAGCCCTGGGGCAGCGAGGCCTCGCCACTGTGCACCCGAATCTCATGCAACACCCACGAGACAGTGGCTCAGGCTGCGTGGGAGGGGACCCTCTGGCTCAGTGCCGGGCACTTTTGTTTGGTGTCACCTGGAATTTTCCCTCAAAATCCCCTTTACAAGGGGTTTTAGCACCAGGCCGGGTGCCCTCCACCTCCTAACAGTCCCTCTCCTCTTACTGACCACACTCTTAACAGCAAAGTGCCTGAAGCAGACAGGCTGGAGAAGGGACAATTATTAATCCAAAGGGGCAACACTCTCAGGTGGATGCTTTGGCAGATGCGGGGCTGCAACCAGTGCTTATCCTGCCCACTACACATATAGATCTAGTTTGATACTTGGCCTTCCAGCTCTTCCCAGCCTACCTCTGCTCTGCTGATATACTGCGAGTGGTGCCCAGGACCCCTCGGCACTGCCATGATACTCGTGCGTGCCACCCTTCCCACCAAAGGGGGATTTTCCAGTTGGTGTCTTTAAAGCAGAGCAAGGAAGAAATGAAGCTGGGGAGACCAGGGAGGCCACTGGGGTGTAAATGCAGATGGCTCATCGATGGAGAGGAGGGGGACGATGTGGCTGACAGGAGCAGCAAAGACTCGTACGTATGCCCAGGACAGGCAGGGCACAGAAAGGAGGCCAGTGCCGCCTGCAGAGCGCAGAAACAAGGCCAGGCAGATAAGCGGCTGCAGAACCGTTACTGGGATACTCGCAGCATGGCTCGCAGATGAGATCTTGCACAAAACCTTGCAAAACAAGGGCTCAACTGAATGCAAAAGGCGAGCAGAGGAGAGCAACGTCCTCTGGCTGGAAGAAAGCCCGGGGAGATGACTCATTTCAGAAAACGTGGCTGTGACCTGGAGTCAGAGGAGCAGTGGGAAGGCACTGCCTTGCTGACTTCAACGGGGGAGTCCCCTCGGGGGTCGGGGAGCACTGCAGCTTTGCCCAAATGGCACCGCAGAAGCGACCGAGCCCTGGCACTGCTTCTGAAGGTCAAATACACGACCAGGCTCCTGCAGGAGCGGCTTGCAGGGCTCGGCTGTGCAAGGCAGACACCGGTGCCCGCAGCGTAGCGCAGCCTTGGGTTTCACCTGCCTGTCACCCGTCTTTGCACAGGGGCTACCCTGGGATCGGGTCCTCCGGCAGGAGCGAATCTGCAGAGGGGGCCAGCCACATTTCTGCAGCTGGAGTTGCCGTACAATCCTCACGCAACCCTAATGCTCGAGAAGGCAGAAACCTGCCCACGAGACCAATAAAAATAGCCCTGCTCTTGCCCCCGGCACAGGAGCTGTCCGGCAGTACCGCCGGCAGCGCGCACACCCCGCTAACCTTTGCCACGGCTTCAGCCAGACTTGTGCGGCCGGCCCTGCTTGGACCCCAGATGCCCAGCACCCCCCTCGGCGGCATCTATACTCGCATGGCAATTTGAGGTGGACTTAGAAGTCGCACCTTTGCCCAGGCTGAGGGCGATTCAGCCCTGACCTGCAGGAAAATGTGGGGGACGGAGAAGAGAGGGAGCAGGGCGTCAGCGTGACCTCCTCCCCTGCAGCCCCCGTCCCGGCTGCCAAGCACGGCCGACCTTAAAAGCACTCAGGCCAGAGCCTGAGGCAACTGCGAGCCCTGCTCCCAGACCCAGGGCCAGCTCCCTCGCCCACAGAAACCACTGCAGCTCTTTCCAACTTGGGCAACTTCAAAGCAGACACCAAACCGCTCTGCTTAAGGGGGGGAAAAAGCAGGCATCTGTCCCGCTGCACACGCTTACGCGGCTCAAACAGTCGCAGCTATATTTAGCCCTTAAAAGGGTGCATTATGGGCCAAAGCAGCACTCTCCGGGCCTGTTTTGCTTGGCAGACGCGTGCGATCCTCGCCAAACGTTCAGCTCCGTGACAAATTCCACTCATGAATTTCATTATATTTGAGGCCGGAGAAAAACAAATGGAGGTTCAGCCAACATTACTGATTCTGCTGTTGGGCTCCTTCGCCTGCCAGCAGAAAGGACTCGACTTGGAAATCTCCTCCTACCTCCTCGCCCGTGGAACATGTTCATCAGAGCAACACAGCGAGTCCCCAAGCCCTGGGGAACTGTCTGCAACCGCGTGTCAGCAGGGCAGGGCAGGGCAGGCCGGGCTTTTCTGGGGGAGGTGGGGAATGGGGATGGAGAAGAAGAAACTGCCTCCCACACTGCTTTTTCAAGGAAAGAAGCTGCAGGACAGATAAACCAGCTGGTTTAATCACATCTGCCCTGTGCAGAAAGACAACCCAGCTGGTTTATAGGATCTGCCCCGTACAGCGACAACCCAGCCGGTCTATAGGATCTGTCCTGACCCTAAATCCCATTGTGGCTCTGCAAGTCGGGGCACCCAGCTGGCTGGAAATTCAAGCGATCCTCAAATCATCCGTCCTCCACAGGCTCCCCTCACAAGACCAGGACATGGCGGTCTCAAAAGCTTTGCCTCTCGTTAGTATAATCCCTATAATCTTCTAGATCCGTGGTTCTCAACCCATGGGTCATGATCCAAAAGTGGGTCACAGAACATATGAAAAGGTCATGGACAAACTTTAGAAATGGATTATCCTTTCAAGGAGAAAAACAAGGGAAGCTGCGGGTTTTCCCTTGCGGGCTGGCAGAGCTCCAGCCTGCATGGAGCTGCCTGGGGCCTTCCCTGCCCCACACACTGGGGGACTGGGGCCCGGGGGCAGCAGGTTGGGAGTGAGGGGCACGGGGTCGGGACTGGCCATCAATGTTTACAAATGGGTCCTGGTGCAAAAAAAGGTTGAGAGCTGATGGCCTAGATGGATGCTTGACTCAGCCTTTGCTTGGATGACTCAATGCTCCGGGTGCGAGCCAGCGAGGTTGCACGCAATCCAAGACTGGATCTCGTCTAACCAACAAGGCAGCCGGCGCTCTTCCTCCCTTTCCCCCAGAAAACCTCCAAGTGGGCTTCAAAAGCTGCTTCCCAAGGCAGCGTTTCTAGGCGGGACAGAACAGGAATCCCCGGTTCCTTCGCCACGCTCTGAAGGAATCAGAACAGAAAACGCCAGCAGGCTGTGATGCAACTCCGTGAGCCGCAGCACAAGGAAGCCCGTGGATTTGCTAAGAGCTACGTATGAATTAGTACTGATATTGCTAGTGCTGCCAAGACGCCTGTGATACTGGCCCTGGGAAAGGCAGGCGGTTGCCCCCTTCCTACAGCTAGCTTTAGGGCAGCCAGCTCCCCTTGGGGTTTGATCAGACATGTCTGGTTTCTCTCTCTAAAGAAAGAGAATTAGGGGCAGGTGAGACAGAAAGAGGATTATTGGGCAGGAGACAAAGAAAGAGGATTACTGGGCATATATTTATAAGACCAATAGGCAGGACTGTCAAGAAAAAGTCCTTTCTGGAGGACTTGGGTATCCTGGTTATAGCCATATTGGTCTAGAGGCAAAAGGAAACAGGGCTCGTGGTAGAGGTCATATCTTTTATTAGACCAACTAGATTTTTGAAGAAAAAAAAAATGTAATTGCAAACTTTCAGGCCCAAGCACCCTTCCTCTCTGGAGGCCAGCACTATGGTGCCTGCGCAGGCTTTAGGAACGGGGCAGAGTTTTTTCTGGACACAGCCAGGTAGCAAGCCTGCAAGGCCTTGTTTGTACCAGTAGAAGACAGGAGCAAAAAAGGCCTTGCAGGTTCGTTTGCAGACAGGAGCCACTCTCTGCAAGCAGGTCTAGCAAAACAACAAGGGCTGCGGACTCGGAGCAAACCGGTATGGTCACAGGTGTCACCAAAGGCAGCAGCTGCTACCGGTTCCCGCAAGTGCTTTGCATTATACAACCCTCTCATTTTGCATCTTTTCTGCTTCCTTTGTCATCACCTAGCTGCATTCCTCTGCAGGACGGCAGACCTGTATGGCTCTTTAGGTGAAGACAGACCAGTTCCTCACTGCGATGCAATACAGTGGCCACTTCCAGAAGGGCCATCCAGCCCATTGAGTACTTTGGGAAGGGCAGTGCCTTTTCTGCAATGCATCACAACACACAGCATTACGATATAAGACAGACTACCAGCTGCAGTGAACTGTGAAGAGCAAAATACAAGAACCCCAGGAAAAAAAAATCAATCAGAGTAAAGATGATGTACTATACGCCGGTGGTAAAGCACTTATAGATTAAACTACTATATTTTTACACAGCCTTTCTGCTTAGAGGGTGGAATAACATAACTGCACTTCTGGAGAGCTGGGTATTTGCAAAGTGCTGGGAAAATGTCAGCTCGTCTTTGCAGGGTCACGGTACAAGGTCACACTGGACAGGAGTGGCGCAACTCCAGCTCTACCCAGAATAAGTCCAATCAATCTGGCTGCTTCAGCAAGGCAGCAAAGTTCCTACTCCGCAGCTTTTGTCATGAGATAAGTAGTCCTGAGATAAGCAATGTCTAGTAGGCACTGAGTGACACTAGCAGAAATCTCCTCTCAAGTCTTAGGAGCTGGGAAGTTTGGGTGTTTTTAATGACAGCTTATGTTCTGCACAAACTAGCAAGCCAGAGCGCTGGCAAAGCAGACCATACCAAACCAGGTCAGTCCTGCCCGCATCTTGGTGAAGGAAGTGTGATGGGGAACTGGAGGTCCAGACCGGCGCCTCATCTGAGCTCCTAATCCTCGGTGCTGGAGTGTGACAGCGCAGCACGACGGAAATACCTTAACTTTTGCACCACCTGGCTCTCCGGCCAACGAGCAAATACAGCAGGTGCCTGGAGTGACTGTGACAGGGGCTCCCAGGCCGGGGCAGAATCCAAATGCAGCAGGGCAGCTTGTGGGATCGTACAGTGCATCTCGATCCTGACCCTACAGGCAAAGCGTGCGTGACCAGCAGCGCTCCTTGGCCCGCTCAGCTCCGTCCATCGCAGATCGCATCTCCACATTTCTGA